TTACTGATGACTACTGCTATTTTTATCATGTCAAGCAAATTTGAAGTAAGGTACACTGGGGCAAGTGTGAATTAGGGGCAAGAGTGACCCACATATATTTGAACAATTAAATGGTGTTACAGCATAGATGGATAGTAGTCAATTAATGTTTTTAAAGTAGAATACCATTAGACTAACTGATAAATTGAGCCAGTTGTTTTTATCTGTTGTGTCACACTTGCCCCACGCAAAATGCCCGCAGGGGCATTTTGCGAGCCCTAGTCTCCATGTATATTTCCTTCACTCTCGCTATTAGGTGTTCCGTGATCCCCCTCCTCCCCATCTCCGCCCACAACTTCCTCCTATCCACCTTATCAAAAGCCGCCTTCAGATCTATAAACAGGGCGTACAATTTCCCTCCCTTCTTATCCAGCTCTCTATCTGCCAGATGCTTCAGCACATACACGTTGTCGATTGGTCCCCTTCCCTTCCGAAAGCCTGCCTGACCATTCGGCAAAATTCCCACCAACTCCATATCCTCCTCTAGTCTTCCCAACAGTATCTTCGTGTATACCGAGTCTAGTAGGTTAATTCCCCTATAGCTATCTACAATTCCCTTATTACCCTTTTTATATACTGGGCAAATTACCCCCACTTTCCATCCCTCCGGAATCCCACCACCTCTCCATACGCTATTCATCCCCTCCAACAACTTCACTCTTACCAGCCTTGATGNTTATCATCGGCGTAGCGGACCGGCCGAGGGTGGCACCGATTACCTGAGTCTGATTTGCGATCTGCTGATTGGACGAAAAACAGTTCCTTTAAACAGTTCCCGTGCGGTTATTATAAACATTTCGAAAAAATTTTATTAGAAAGATCGCTTCAGAATAATGTATCCTACAACCGTATAATGCTCTGATGCGGAAGATACGGGACACGCTGTATATTTGAACAATTAAATGGTGTTACAGCATAGATGGATAGTAGTCAATTAATGTTTTTAAAGTAGAATACCATTAGACTAACTGATAAATTAAGCCAGTTGTTTTTATCTGGTGTGTCACACTTGCCCCACGCAAAATGCCCGCAGGGGCATTTTTCGAGCCCTAGTCTCCATGTATATTTCCTTCACTCTCGCTATTAGGTGTTCTGTGATCCCTCTCCTCCCCATCTCCGCCCACAACTTCCTCCTGTCCACCTTATCAAAAGCCGCCTTCAGACCTATAAACAGGGCGTACAATTTCCCTCCATTCTTATCCAGCTCTCTATCTGCCAGATGCTTCAGCACATACACATTGTCAATTGGTCCCCTTCCCTTCCGAAAGCCTGCCTGACCATCCGGCAAAATTCCCCCCAACTCCATATCCTCCTCTAGTCTTCTCAACAGTATCTTCGTGTATACCGAGTCTAGTAGGTTAATTCCCCTATAGCTATCTACAATTCCCTTATTACCCTTTTTATATACTGGGCAAATTACCCCCACTTTCCATCCCTCCCGAATCCCACCACCTCTCCATACGCTATTCATCCCCTCCAACAACTTCACTCTTACCACCCTTGATGCTTCCAACTATGCCTCGTTATGGATCCCATCTTCACATGGCGCCTTTCCTTTCTTCAATCCCCTAAGCACTGCTTCCATCTCCTCTTCTGCTATCTCCTCTCCCCCATCTCCCCCCTCGCCACCCAACCTCGTTTCAACCCCTCCCTATAATCCCATAAAGTAACTCTTCCATTCTATCATGTGTATTTCGCTGGTGATCCCCGCCCTACCCTTCTTTATCTTTATCAGATACCTCCAGACCTCCCCTTCCCTTGTTATCCCTCTAATCTCTGCCGCCTCCTTCTCCCTCAGTTCTGTTTTCTTTCTACTGCATAACTCTGTGTATTCTCGCCTGGCTTCCCTATCCGCTATCTCCTCCCGTCTCCACTGCCTCCCTCTTCGCCCTCTTGCACTCGCCATCATACCAGTCGTTCCTACCCTCTCTGCCCCCCCTACATACACACTTCCTTTTCAGTGTTGCCTCCCGGACTACCTTCTGTTGCCAAGTGTGGAGGTTTCCCCTGTAGAATGCTACCTCTTCTTCCGACCAGTCTGTCCTGATGAACTTGCTCCCCAGTTCCGATCGCCTTCTGCCGCCCACCCCCTTTAGCTCCATATTAATTATCATTCGTCTTGCCGATCTTTTTGGTTAATGCCTCTTCGACAGCGTCGCCTGTGTAACGACGTATTATTCTTCTACAAGGTTTTATACAATATATGCTTTAATTTCTTGTTCTGTACGCTTATTCCGCGCACCAATGCTTTCCGGAACTCTCCTATGTTGCGAATGGCTCGCTAGACTGACAAGCTTGAAATCGATTTGTTTCAGCACTCATTTTTTACATTTAGGCGCTTACTTTTTAATGCTGTCAGCGAATTGCCTCCTACGTTTTGTTAGTTCAGCATTTTGTTCGTTTAGTCTTTTTATAATGTTTAATTTCGCCGTTATTATTATTATTTGGCATTGTTTTTGTATTGTTCCTTTTTCTTTGTTACACGTTTTCTTTTTTATTGTAAATTTTTTTGTGGTACAGATCTTTAGGGTTGTCTTGTCTCCGTACCCATAAATTGTAAATAAATAAATATACACTGTTGGAAATAATTCACGAGCACATCCTATATAATCTGAACGCGTGAAGATAAATCCATAATATTTGCGGAGCACAAAGCATTACTGTGGACGAGTTTATTCAGCGAGTTTCGAGTTGTTCCGTCGCGGCATTGTTGACTGAGCCGCCCTTCCAAGTGGAACATTTCGTCGCTATGGAGACCGAAGTGGATGGAAAATACCGATCGTTTTTAGTGTGGTGTGATGGACCACATTGTTATTGTACTCTGTGCGCAATGGATGGGCGATCGCGTTACTTAAGCGAGTTTGGGCGAGAAATGTTTGTGGGTATGCACATTGAGGGTGTATCGTTCCGTCAAATTGCGCGTTGTCTCGAGCGGTCATTATCGGCAGTGCAACGGGCATAACGAGACGAGAATGGTCTGAGGTAGGACATAGATACCTACAGCCGCGGCCGGGATGGCCCTGCGCGACCCCAGCACACGAGGATCGCACTCTTGTGCTCAGCGCTTTAGCGTCGTGTGCGTCCTCAAGGCAACTTGGAGCTGTTTGACCACCGGCAGGGGAAGGCGCACTCACTACGCGAACTGTATGGCGGCGTTTGGTAAATAGTAGACTGCGCGCGCGTCGTGCGATACAGCGGATTCCAGTAACACCCGAGCACCGCAGCATACGTCACGAGTGGGTCAACGCTAGGCATTAGTGGGTTGCCGAGTAGAGGGACATTTTGTTTTCCGACGAATCAAGATTCGAATTGAGCACCGGTGATGCGCGAATTTTAGTTCGTCGCATGACGGGTCAACGATACGTAGATGAGGTGCTACGGTCCGTAGTGCTTCCCTACGTTCGGCGGCGCCCAAGTCTGCTATACATGCACGACAACGTCCGAACGCACATCGGGCGTATTGTACAGACCTTTGTGGAAGAGCACCGTATACGAATGCTTGCTAGGCCAGCTCGTTTTCCGGATCTGAATCCAATCGAACATGTTTGGGACATGACTGGTCGGAGACTTCTACGTTATCCGGCCCCCTCGGCTAACGTTGAGGAGCTTTGGAGGCGAGTTGAGGTGGCATGGTTTTCCATCCCTCTTGCTACAATACAGCGACTTATAGACTCCATGCCACGTCGTGTAGCGATGGTACGCGAAGCTCACGGCGGATACTCTCGCTATTAAATGTTGCTAACTTGAACTATACTGATGACTGTAGGCCTTCTTTAATCAAATTAAAAATATTAACACTTCCTTCATTATATATTTTGGAATGTTTAAAGCTCACTTTTTTACATCTTAGTCAGCACAGAAAAAATAGTGATGTTCACAATTATGGCACTAGGGGGAGGAATGACATTCGACCTGAGGCACTGCGACTGGAGAGGTCGAGAAACGCATATAATTACTATGGAGTGAAGTTCTTCAATGTCTTGCATTGTGGTTATAGAAGCTTACCTTATAAAGCTTTTGTAACCAAAATTAAAAATGTTTTAGTAGGGAAGGCGTATTACTCCATAGATGATTTCTTAAACGATATACAGTCCTTCGATTGATATTTTTATGATGTATTACGACTGTGCCTTTGTCGCTACCGGACACCGATTATTTTATCAGGAGTTTAGCGTAATGTAATGTATTTAGTAATTTATTCTTTCTTATATATGTTTTTATGTTGTATTTCTATTTCGATTGTGACGAATGTATGCCCTCTGGGTTATTAACATAATAAATTATTATTATTATTATTGATTTTTCTCCTCCCAGCAGAGTTGTGCCGCTCTCCATGTGAGAGTAAGTTACACTACTTTAGTACTACTTCCATACCAAATTTTATTGCGCTAGACTCACACGTTCAGATTATACAGCGTGTGCTCGTGAATTATTTCCAACAGTGTATATGGCTTATTAGAAAATACACGTTAAAAGTTATAATATATAAACAAATTAAAAAACACGTTAAAAGTTAAAAATGTTTAAAAATATAAATTAACAGAATTACACTCAGAATGACGGCACTTATGTTACGGACACATAAATGAGATGTCATTCAAAGTCTCTGATGATGGCGTAAGCCGAAACCGGTTAGACAATAAATAGAAGAACCAGAATAAGTATTGTTTTTATTCTAATTTACATTTTATAAAGATCAGTCGCGTGCGCTGGATGAACACGTCTCTAAAATACCTATAGCCGCTTAATTGTGGTGATATTTCGCATAAATTTGGCTAATACCAATTTAGAACGGTACAAGTCAGAAATGTTATGAAATTATGTTTTATTACGCATAAAATCTTTTTTGGTTTTCGGAGTTTTACAATAATGCATATAATTTTTTGATTAACGCATACAATAACTTATATTAAAAAGATATTGACCCTAAATTAAATAATATAAATAAATGAATCACTTACCCTAAAATTTCTTTTTCTTAAAATAGGTCCACTTAATCTCGTTGTTTGTTCAACATAACGCATACATTGTTTAAAAGTATCTTCGTCTTTATTTAAAAAGATTTGCAAAAAGATCCCTCCGTAATTATTCGCCAACAATTCATTTAAATCCGTATTAATTAACGTTGAAATTTCGTGTATTAAAGTTTTAACGCCAGGCATTAAAACAATTAATGAAACAAAAAAGGGAATTAAATAAGTACTTTCCGTTCTTAAAAAATCTTTAGTACTCGAATATCCTAAAACCATCGGAACATTCTCTAAGGATTCCATAATTGTGTAAATCGCCAATTGTTGATTAATCGCACATAAATCAGCGATCATTTCACAAATTTCTCTGCGAAATTTCCCGTATAATAAGCGAGGTTTCGTTTGTTGACTTTCAGCCAAATCGAGGAAATAACATTGTGCTATCTCTGGATAACACGAAAGCGGGATTGCTATGTAATATAGAAGAATTTTTATCATCTTTGAAGTGATTGGTTTTATTTTTAAGTCGATTAATTTATAGATGGTTGTTAAAATCGGATTTTGCATATAATTTTTATCGTTGGGCATTGAAGCCAACATATATTTATATAATTCATCGATAACAAAAGTGATTATTTCTGATTTTGTTTCTTTCGGAGTTAATTTGCTTTCTTGTATAGCTTTTAAAGCTCCATAAACACTCAAAGGATATATTTTTAAAATCAAATCGTCTTTGTATTTAACATTTTCAATCCATATTTCAACATATTTTTTTTCATTAAATTCTTGTAAATGTCGATGTAATGAAGGTAACGATACCAAAAACGATAATTTTAAATCGTTCGATTTTAAACTGATTTTTTTCATTAAGACTTGTACGATTTCTTGATTAACATTTGTTTCGATTTTGAGTTTGTTATCGAACGAAATTAAAAATGATTCATTTTTATATTTTGATTTTTTAATATCTTCCATTACTTTTGAGTTATTATAATTATTATCATCTTGTTTATAATTGTTGTCATTGCAATCAAGACAAATGTACTGCGTTGTAATAAAAGATTCGTTTTCCTTTATGGACGTAATTTTGATCACTTTTCCATAACAAAAACATATTAATGAGGATAAAAATTCTCTTGAATTTGATGGAATCGTTGTTAATCGTGTTAAAATTTTTGGGATGAATTGATATGATTTTGTGAATAGAATTATATCATTTATGTTGTTGTATAACTAAAAAAAAATTATATCAGGGTATAAATATGATTATTAAGGGACGTAAGTCCAATTTTAATGAAGATAATGTTTGAGTATATATCGAAAAATCTTCTAAAAGTTATAAAAGATATTCTGATTACATGTTGGAAATTATTGGAAAGCACAGAATCTAAGAGTCTTTTACAAGTTGTTTAAATTTTCTAAGACACACATGTGATCTAATCTGCCTGGGTAATCTTTTATAAAGCATTGGAAAAACATAAAGTATGATATGGTGAAAACGAGTTATATTAATTCCAAATTATGCCAATCCAACCTCAAAGCAATTGATTTTCAACGCAATTTGTCCATAAAGTAGTCATGATTTAAAGCAAGTCACTCCAACACCAAACTAACATAGCCACAAATTCAATCAATTCCAAATTATGTCAATCCAACCATAAAGCAATTGATTTTCAAAGCAACTTGTCCATAAAGCAGCCATGCTTTAAAGGAAGTTAATTCAACACCAAACTAACTCAGCCACAAATTAAACCAACTCCAAATTATGTCAAAACAATTCATCTTAAAGCAACGTAACTACAGAAAAATTATCGTTCACAAAGAAAACCAATTTTCAAACAACACACTTAATGCAGCTCATCTCTAAAGGAACTCGTAAGGTAACCAAACACAAAGGGAAGTTGGACTAATTTCCCTACATGAAACTAAAATCCGATCTAGTCTAACCATAAAACAAACCATGTCAAGTCTGAAACATATCAATCACGCCAGAGCAAATCAATGATGATAAAGTAAGTAATCATCAAAGCAAGAATCTGCTAAATCATGGATGCTAAACGCACCATCGTAGATGATATAAAAACGAAACAACTAAAGTAGTTTGGCTGAGAATCGGCTTTTCAAACAGATCTTGAAATGAAAACCTGAAAAACTTGAAACAACCGATATATTTTTGAGAAGCTGTAATATTACGATGTATGTACTAAGTATTAAGTTTTTGTCGAGCGCTATACGTATGGTCGATGTCACCATTTCGCCTACTCACGATTTTTCAACGATTTACAATCGCAGTCCTTCTGCGCAACTGTCAGCTAGGCCAAGATAGATATGCCAAGCTGTACATATTTTTTCATTTCATAGATATGGTTCTTAAATAAAATCTAAAGATTTCATTCTAAAAATCGAATTTGATGGAACAGGTAGATGACGAATGTCAGCTTGGAAAAAAATTATGTTCAGAGACATAAAGGACCAGCTGACCGATATCAGAAGGGAGACGAATGGATACAAAAGGGAAAATGAGGAATTTAAGGGAAAAATTGTGGAAGAAGAAACATATAGATATGCTGGAAAGAGAGGTAAGACGTAAAAATGTGGTAATAAAGGGAATTAAAGAAGAGAGATTTGATAGTTTCGAAAAGAGAGAGAGTGAGGTGATTAACTTGATGAGGAATATCGGAATGAATTTAACAAGCGATGATATTGATATCACAAGTAGAATGGGAGCATATAAAGAGAACAACAATAGGCCGATATTAGTAATTAAATTACCCTGGGGTTGTATGTACGACGAAAAATAGGTTATTTAAACTGGCAAATCGGTGCTACAGCTGTTTCGGTTTTACAATTAAACCTTCCTCAGGCACGACTGAAAGAGTTTACAATATAGAAAATAAANATATGATTTTGTGAATAGAATTATATCATTTATGTTGTTGTATAACTAAAAAAAAATTATATCAGGGTATAAATATGATTATTAAGGGACGTAAGTCCAATTTTAATGAAGATAATGTTTGAGTATATATCGAAAAATCTTCTAAAAGTTATAAAAGATATTCTGCTTACTTGTTGGAAATCATTGGAAAAACATAGAATCTAAGAGTCTTTTACAAGTTGTTTAAATTTTCTAAGACACACATGTGATCTAATCTGCCTGGGTAATCTTTTATAAAGCATTGGAAAAACATAAAGTATGATATGGTGAAAACGAGTTATATTAATTAGAAATTATGTCAATCCAACCTCAAAGCAATTGATTTTCAACGCAATTTGTTCATAAAGTAGTCATGCTTTAAAGCAAGTCACTCCAACACCAAACTAACATAGCCACAAATTCAATCAATTCCAAATTATGTCAATCCAACCATAAAGCAATTGATTTTCAAAGCAACTTGTCCATAAAGCAGCCATGCTTTAAAGGAAGTTAATTCAACACCAAACTAACTCAGCCACAAATTAAACCAACTCCAAATTATGTCAAAACAATTCATCTTAAAGCAACGTAACTACAGAAAAATTATCGTTCACAAAGAAAACCAATTTTCAAACAACACACCTAAGGCAGCTCATCTCTAAAGGAACTCAGGTAACCAAACACAAAAGGAAGTTGGACTAACATCCCTACATGAAACTAAAATCCTATCCGATCTAGTCTAACCATAAAACAAACCATGTCAAGTCTGAAACATATCAATCACAAAGCGAACGAAGCAAACCAATCTTAAAGTAATACAACGCCAGAGCAAATCAATGATGATAAAGTAAGTAAACATCAAAGCAAGAATCTGCTAAATCATGGATGCTAAACGCACCATCGTAGATGATATAAAAACGAAACAACTAAAACAGTTTGGCTGAAAATCGGCTTTTCAAACAGATCTTGAAATGAAAACCTGAAAAACTTGAAACAACCGATATATTTTTGAGAAGCTGTAATATTACGATGTATGTACTAAGTACTAAGTTTTTGTCGAGCGGTATACGTATGGTCGATGTCACCATTTCGCCTACTCACGATTTTTCAACGATTTACAATTGGAGTCCTTCTACGGCAAGCTGTACATATTTTTTCATTTCATAGATATGGTTCATAAATAAAATCTGAAGATATAATTCTAAAAATCGAATTTGATAGAACAGATAGACGAAGGATGTCAGATATGGAAAAAAATTATGTTCAGAGACATAAAGGAACAGCTGACCGATATCAAAAGGGAGACGAATGGATACAAAAGGGACAATGAGGAATTTTGTCAAATAAACGACTTGTTGATTGGAAACACTATGTGGAGTCAGAGAAGGCAAGATAAATATACGTTTGTGGCGGAAGAAAGGAATGCTAAGAATTATTGATTACATCACATACACCCGGAATCTCCAAAATAGAGTCGGGGAGGCAAAGAAGACTGAAGGAGAAGCAGAAATGGGAACTAACCACAGACTAGTCATGACAACTATGAATAATATAGAAATCAAAAGAGAAGAGATGAAAATCTACACGAAAATAAACATCCATAAACTAAGGCAGGAGAAAGAAAGACTAAAATATCAAGAAAAAACAAACAACGAATTTAACACTGGAAGAAAGGTGAAGAATTTTTAAAAATCAGACAAAGAGAACACGCTGGTGGAATGAAGAGGTCCAACAGGCAATCAAGAAGAAGAAAGAGTCATGGAAGAAATACATAAGAACGAATTCGGAAGAGGATAGAGCAAACTATAGAACGAACAGAGATGTAGCTAAGAATATGGTAAGGGAGGCGAAAAAGAAAAGTTGGGAAGAATTCGGAACAAACTTAAGTGAAACATACAAATAGAATAACAGAAAATTCTAGAATCAAATAAGAAAACTGAAGGGAGATCAAAGGAAACAAATAAAATACTATAAACACAACTACAAGGGAAATTCTGGACATATGAGCGAATTTTTATACAGAAAAGTTCAAGGATGGAAAACGGACACAAACAATGGAGGAGGGAAGAGAAGGTTGAGATAAGGGAACACATTACAGACATAGCAATTGAAGAGATAACAATGAAAGGATTAGAAGAGACAGTGATGAAGATGAAAACAGACAAGGCTTGCGGCAAAGACAAGATAGATCCGGAGATGAAAAAATATTTGGGAATAAAAGGGAAGGAGTGGCTTCTAAGTACATATAAAACCGCATCGGAGTCGGAAATAATCCCGAAAGATTGGGAAGATAATATAATATCATCTTACCAATACATAAAAAAGGAAGCTACTCGAACTGTGAAAATTACAGAGTCATATGTCTACAAATTACAAATTATACACAAAGATAATAGAAAACTAGAAAATGAACAAGCAGTATATAGAGACGGACAATGAGCTATACCTAATATTCTTGGACCTAAAAGCAACTTTTGACACGGTTAACTGTAGTATTATATGGAAGTGTCTAGAACAACTAACGGTATCACAAAAACTAACAAAAATAATTGAAAACCTGTACAAGAAAGTCAAGGGCATAGTAGAAATTAAGGGAGAAACATCAAAAACTTTAGAAATGAGCAAGGGAATAAAACAAGGCGATAGCCTAAGTCCATTGTTATTTATAATATTAATGGACAGAGTGATAAAAAATACAAGAACAAGAACAGATAAATATCAAACAGTAATAGGTTATAAAAGTTTGGAACCAGTAAAAATAGATAATTTACTATATCCTGACGACATAGTGCTGATATCAGAGAACCATAAAAAAGCAAGGAAGTTGGTTGAAATATGGACAGAAGAAATTGAAAAGATGGGACTTGGAGAGAATTGAACGTAAATAAATGTAAAATCGTGATAAAAAGGAAATAAGAAATAACTCGAAAGAAATATTTATTAAGGAATAAAAGATAGAAGAAGTATTATCATGCGAGTACTTGGGCAGTATAATATCATAAGATGGAAGGATAGATTTAGACATAAATGCAAGAATAAGGAAAACAAACAACGTACTTATATTATCTGCTCTAAACAGAACAATTTTTGAGAAGAAGAAGATAGATAAAAAGATAAAATTGAAAATGTACAACTCGGTGGCAGTCCCAATACTAACATATGCCAGTGAATCATGGACACTCCAAGAAAAATAAGAAGGAAAGATCACAGCAAAGGAAATGAAATTTGTACGGAAAATAGTGAGGAAGACAATGTGGGATAGGATAAGGAATAAGGAACTAAGACTGGGAGTAGATCAAGAGGTGATAATCAGCAAAATAGAGAGGAAGCAACTAAACTGGTACGCCCACATAATTAGAATGGAACATAACACAACAGTGAAAAAAGATATTTGAAGCAATGAATAAGGATAAGAAAAAGAGGGGAAGACCTAGGAAGAAGTGGGAGAAAGGAACAGCAGAAGTTGGAAAGAAGAGAGGGAAGACTCTAGCAGATATAAAGGAATTGGCCAGGAACCGGAGAGAGTGAATGGAGGAATAAGAATAGATTTATTTTAAGATAGAATATTGTTTTCTCAAAAACTAAGTTATTTTTCAAAACTGGATTGGTTCATTGGAAAGAGAACACTTTTATTAACACTTTGGGAAATTTTCATACTCATATTCCAAGAACTGGATTTTATACGAAAGTTTAAAACTTAATCGGAGAAAAGCGCAAAATTCGAATTTATTTCTCAAGAACTGAAAGTGATTTTTCAAGACGGCTTTTTGCATTAAAAAAGGATACTTTAATTAATAATTGGTGATATTTCCACAAGAATCTTTTAAGAAATTAATTTTATAGCGAATTTTGAAAATTATCGATGAAAATTGCAACATCGAACATTTTATCAAAGCTTCAAAATATTGTTTTCTCAAAAACTAAAAGTTATTGTTCAAAACGGGTTGGTTTGTTGGAAAGAGGACACTTTTATTAACACTTTGGGAAATTTTCATAGTCATATTCCAAGAACTGGATTTTATACGAATTTTTAAAACTTATTCGGTTAAAATTACAAAATTCGAAAAAATTGTCGATCATTTCAAAAATTTATTTTTCAAAAACTATAAGCGATTTTTCAAAACGGCTTGTAGTATTAAAAAGAGAATACTTTAATTAATAATTAGAGATATTTTCACAAGGATCCTTCAAGAAATGAATTTTATAGCAAATTTTGCAAGTTATCGATGAAAATTGCAACATCGAAAATTTTATCAAAACTTCAAATAATGTTTTCTCAAGAACTAAAAGTTATTTTTCAAATCGTGTTGGTTCATTGGAAAGAGGACACTTTTATTACCACTTTGGGAAATTTTTAAACTCTTATTCCAAGAAATGGATTTTATACGAATTTTTAAAGCTTAATCGACGAAAATTGTAAAATTTGAAAAAATTGTCGATTATTTCAAAAATTTATTTCTCACGAACTGAAAGTAATTTTTCAAAACGGCTTATTACATTAAAAAGAGGATACTTTAATGAATGTATGGTGATATTTCCACAAGGATCCTTCATGGAATTAATATTATAGCGAATTTTGCAAGTTATCGATGACAATTGCAACATCGAAAATTTTATCAAAGCTTCAAAATATTGTTTTCTCAAAAACTAAATAGTTATTTTTCAAAACGGGTTGGTTCATTGGAGAGAGGACACTTTTATTAACACTTCGGGAAATTTTCATACTCGTGTTCCAAGAACTGGATTTTATACGAATTTTTAAAACTTAATCGGCGAAAATTGCAAAATTCGAAAAAATTGCGATCATTTTAAAAATTAAAAAGAACTGAAACTGATTTTTCAAAACGGCTTTTTGCATTAAAAAGAGGATACTTTAATTAATAATCGAAAGTGATAACAACGCCAATTCTGTTAGTAATGAATGTGATGATGAATTACAAGCGAAGAGAAGAAAACTAGATGAAACTGCAACAAGAGATTTTGTATATCGTATTGGGATTGTTACAATGAGGTTCCTAATGACAAATCTGATATAAATAAAGTTGTATTCAATGAAAAAGTCCTATTGGGGTTGAACTTGATTATAATCTGCAGTGTCCAACACCTAAAAGAGATACTAATTCCTGTGAATAATGGAGTACTAAGTAATGGAATGTTGGTAACTATCCGAATATCTGTTTCATCACTTGGTGACCGATTGAAAGGACCAACGATTGTTGCTAATCGTTTAACTTGTGAAACTTATTTGGACTTTCTGCGAAACACTTTGCCGATATTTTATATTTATTTTGCCGATATACATGATGGCGCGCCTTTTCGATTTGATTTTGCGATCATTGTTCGTAATTTTCTTAATACTGAATTTTATGGTAGATGGATAGGAAGACGAGGTTCAATAGTTTATGGCCACCTAGATCAGCTGATTTAAATCGTCTAGACGTTTTTGCATGGGGTTACTTAAAACTTGGAGGATCTCCAGCAAAGATCAATCTCCAGGAGTCTTCAAATGGAGGGAGGTCATGTTTGAACATTTTGTGTTCAGTTTGTATTTTCCCCAATTAAATAAACATTTTCAATAACACTGGAATTGTTTATATCTTCGAAACTACTGCTTTTAGGATCAAAGTTTACTAAGACTTTTTTATTTATCTTGATGAGAACTATAAGTGGGTAAAATATTGGAACACAATTTTTAAACACCTGGTATACACAGTTTGATTCTATGATAAAGTAATTTTGGACTTACATTCCTTTTATTATACATAAATATAAAATGTTTACTTACCAATGATTGTTGAATTAAACTTCCTTTTGTATAAATTTCAGTAATAATCTTCAAACAATTTACTTGTACATTATGTTTTGATATATCATCCAAATCATTTATTAAATCACTGGATAAAATCCGAATGAAATTAATTAAGTTAGAAACGGTTTCATCTTTAGTTTCTTGATAATAAGCCAAATTATTATAAAGTAATTTCAAGTTGATATTTCCTTGAGATTTGTCAATATTTCCAGAGAAATTATAGGGTAAATCATTACTTGTTTTATAAAACAAAGTTAAGTACTGATAAGCGATAATATGAAAGTAAATGTGAACATTTTCATTGGAAGCAATCGCAGGAAACAAGGTGACAATACCGATAAATTCTTTAACTGGTAATTGAACGACGCAATTTTTAATATGTTGATTTATAAACGAAATAACATTCAAAAAAAATTGATTATTAAAAAATTCAATATTAATTTTAGCCACTTTCTTAACATTAAAAAATATTACCGACTCATATCTCAATTTTAAAGCAATCTCACATAATTGATGAATAAATTTTAAAGTTTTCTTTAAAACGCAATTTTTATTAACGCAATTAATCGGTTCTAATTTTAAATTAAGCCCCGTCAAAATTATTTTCCACGTTTCTGAGATATCCTCAACACACAAATTGGTATTATTTAGCTTGTTTAAACACTTAAAAAGATCGTCTTTCAATTTTATTCTACTCTGTTCGAGATTACAAACAGAATCAATATTAATTTGGTTAAAATCAAAGTTATCCTCAATTGATGTGTTTTCAATTAGTTTATAACAAATTCTTACGAAGTCGTCGCTGAATGTATTTGAAAATTCACCGCTTTTTAATTGATTTATAATCAATTTTGAAATATTAATTTTGTGATGGACGTAATTGTTTTGATTTAATAAGTAAAATAAGATAGTTTTAAACTTATTAAATTCATCATCTTTTAATTTCGTTTTTGAGGAGAAGATGTTGTTACAAAATTGTTCTAGTAATTCAAAAATTAATCGAAATTTGTCTTTTAATTCATTTGGAAAAGCATTAACTCTTATTATATCGACTTCAAAAATATTTTTAATTACTTCAAATATGCTTATTTTTAAGCTAACTTTGTCTTCCTTTAAAATATGTATTAAAAGATCTAAATCTTTATATAAATTCGTATCAATACTATACGATATTTTACGAATTAAAGTATCATTTAAGAAAATTAAAACTTTCTCTTTTAAACATTCGCATTTCGTTTGAGAATTTATTTCGATCGTAACTCCGTTTAAAACCATCTCTTCTGATGTTAGATTAGGGTTAAAAATTTCAATGTTTAATGTTTTGTTTGAATTGTAATTATTTAATTTTTTTAATAAATTACTATACTCTAATGAGAGATGATTATAAGAACATGGTTCTGTTATTTTAATTAAATGCAATATTTTTAACTGGGCATCAATTAATTTAGCATGAACCCTAAAAAAAAAATAATTACAACAAATAAGCTTTTTAATTTATCAAAATACCAACCCAATTAGACTCTCACAACTCAACAAATAAAAAAATTTCCCCATCAACCAAATGGTAAAAGATTTATATTGTTGGGACATTTCTTCCTGGTGCTTATATGATTCATCAGAGGTGGATGTGTACACGAATATGTTTGTTAAATTCTCCGAATTAACAATTTCTGTTAATTTACTTATCATTGTTTCGCATGGTTCTTGTTCTAATAATTGTATGGTATGATAAAATATTTCCCATGTCGAATATGCAGGTATTTTATCTTTTATTGGAGCCATTACAAACTAAAAAAGTAAACTTGAATTAACAAAAAACATAACCTCACTTACTTAATTGCCGCTAAACAATGTATATTATAACAAATTTTTAATTCAATTTGTACATATAGATAGTATACATTACCTGAACTTACAAAATAATTACTTAAATAATAAAAAGATTTATTACAATCACTTAAATAACGTTTTAAAAGAACATTAAATTATTTTGAACGATTTGACAATATTAACCGATGAGAATGTAGGTACAATATATTCTCCTTTGGCTATTCGTTCATAGACGGCGCTAATATAATTAATTAAAGTTATTTTAAATCAAAATAATCAATTATAACCAGTGTTGTTAAATACCCGGGTATTTATTTTCAAGGGTATATTTCCTGGATATACAGGTGTCTCAGCGAGACCGGTCATTAGACGTTTCTGGGGTTCTAGCACTTCCGGTTATACCGGAAGTCGCCACCTACTTTATTTTTTTAAATGGAACATCCTGTATATTTTTACATATTTGGATTTGTCTGTTTTCAAGGTTTATAAATAACTTTACTTTTTGCAATTTGATTCGGCCGTTCTCGAGTTATTCGAATTTTTCTAGAAAAATCTGCTCCAGCGGACATTTGTTCAAAAAATCATAGAACACTCGATTTTTGAGATATCAATTTAGGATTCAGAACATG